ACTGTTGAAAATACAGTAATAATACGGTAAAAACAACAGGATGTACAGTAACATACTGTATAACTCTTATACAGTAAGAAACTGTTGGAAATACATTAATACTACTGTGAAAACAACAAAAATCATTTATAGTGCAGCTGCCAGAAACTCCACAGTTGTCATAGTCTACTTGTATTTGTACTGCGATGGCACGGTTCAATCTTGGTGGTGCCCCTAGGGACATTATTCAGAATTACCATACATATACATGTACTTTTCCTCTCTCATACACATATGAAACCAAATTCATTCACATACTATACTATACTCTCCAACTGAAACGCTCTCACACACATACAACTGAAACGCTGAACAGGAAGGCATTTCAGTTAAACAGGAAGGCATTTCAGTTGAACAGGAAGGTATTTCATTTAAACAGGAAGGCATTTCAGTTGAACAGGAAGTTGTTTAAATAAAAGCACACATCTCACAATACAAGCGAACAACTGTTGATCATACAACGGTATTATGTTTATTGCTTCTGACAAGCATCGGCACACAGTTTGATTTCTTCCAAAGTATATGCTCAATTACAAACTAATCAGATGGGTCGGCTTTAGCCCACTGCTAGTTATCAAATGCCAGCACACCAGCACTGGGAGGCGCCATAGGGAGGCGCACTCTGACCAGACAGACTCCTGACAGAGCTAGAGAAGGAGAAAAGAAATGCAGAGCTAGAGAAGAAAGAGCCAAATGTGACATTCACTAAGAAGTTACATAAAAAAAGAATTATCTGTACACTGAATAGTTTTGAAGCTCTATAGATGGTGTCATTTATTGTGACCTTGTGAGTTGGTCTTGTGGATATTACATGTTTGTTGGCTTACTGTATAGTGTGTAGTGAGGCAAAAGGGTGAAAAACTGATAGAAAGCACATATTTGCTACAAGTGCATTCGATCAGCTGATTGTTTATTTTTGCTCTGTGTGGGCTACTTGCATGAGAATACCTCAGTTGGCAACATTGCAATTAATGATACATCTAGTGGGGTTCATAATTTCTCAGCCAGCAGGTCATTCTTTGTTTAAGCACTTTACCCAGTTTTGTTTGGATTTGTGCTCATTCTCTTGTCTTTAAACTAGATTACTGTACATGAGAGCAGCAAACAAGGCACTCTTCAACACCTTCTCTGGCTCTAGTGTAAGGCTCTTATGTTATCTTCAAGGATAAGGTACAATGTTAAAAAACTGCATAACTATTTCGTCTTCTGACCTTTTCTGACCAAGGTCAGAACACGAAACAGTATTTTCACTTTTCAACTTATACTAGACTGCTCTCCCTTAGCAAAAGAGTTAAGCTTTAATATTCAATGTTTTGTCTTTGTTGCATGATGAGCTGGTTCTTTCAACTGACAATCAGAATGTAAAATGAACATTTTCAGTCAGTATATTTATAATACAATATATTTAGAATTTATTGCAATGGGAACCATAAACCATTTTTTAATGGACATAAAACACAGATGTTTAAAACTACAGTGGACGATGAGGAGATCCAGTGCCGCCTTTCCTAGCAGGGAGTGGGAAAAGAAGTAGAGAAGGCCTTTTAATGCCTTAATAGGCCAAAAAAGTGGAAATAATAACTATGGCTACCATTATGCAAGCAAAATAGCTCGTTACTACATTTAACTTAACATTAGCTTACCATTGACTTATTAAAAGAAAGACTATAATCAAGTGACATTCAAATTATTGACTCATAACTAAAGTTATGTGAAAATCTGAATTCAGGTTTAATTGATTTGCTTCAAATAGTTTGTTAGACATTTAACAGTTAGAACTTAGTTTAAAGCTGATTCACGTTTAGACAATTGTGGTGTCGCAAACCACATTTACAGTAAATACTTAGAATCATTAAGGCATTTTAAATCTTATGTATAATGTCAATAACATATAAATCATTATTTAAAGTTTTATAGCTTTAATGTTAACTTACCAGAAGTGCAAGCTGGGATCATTGGCTGGGACCAACCATAGAATTGCACTTGTATGTGTGTCAGGTTTTCATTTGTGTGTGTGTGGGAACATTTCAGTTGTGTGTGTGCGAGTGTTTCAGTTGTGTGTGTGAGAGCGTTCCAGCTGTGTGTGTGTGAAGGTAATATTTTCAGTTGTGTGTGTGAGAGCGTTTCAATTGTGTGTGTAAAGGTAATATTTTCAGCTGTGTGTGTAAAGGTAATATTTTCAGCTGTGTGTGTGAGAGTGTTCCAGCTGTGTGTGTGAAGGTAATATTTTCAGTTGTGTGTGTGAGAGCATTCCAGCTGTGTGTGTGAAGGTAATATTTTCAGCTGTGTGTGTGAGAGCGTTTCAATTGTGTGTGTGTGTGTGTGAAGGTAATATTTTCAGTTGTGTGTGTGAGAGCGTTTCAGCTGTGTGTGTGTGTGAAGGTAATATTTTCAGTTGTGTGTGTGAGAGCGTTCCAGCTGTGTGTGTGAAGGTAATATTTTCAGCTGTGTGTGTGAGAGCGTTTCAATTGTGTGTGGGTGAAGGTAATATTTTCAGCTGTGTGTGTGAGAGCGTTCCAGCTGTGTGTGTGAGAGCGTTCCAGCTGTGTGTGTGAAGGTAATATTTTCAGTTGTGTGTGTGAGAGCGTTCCAGCTGTGTGTGTGAAGGTAATATTTTCAGTTGTGTGTGTGAGAGCGTTCCAGCTGTGTGTGTGAGAGCGTTTCAATTGTGTGTGGGTGAAGGTAATATTTTCAGCTGTGTGTGTGAGAGCGTTCCAGCTGTGTGTGTGAGAGCGTTCCAGCTGTGTGTGTGAAGGTAATATTTTCAGTTGTGTGTATGAGAGCGTTCCAGCTGTGTGTGTGAAGGTAATATTTTCAGTTGTGTGTGTGAGAGCGTTCCAGCTGTGTGTGTGAGAGCGTTCCAGCTGTGTGTGTGAAGGTAATATTTTCAGTTGTGTGTGTGAGAGCGTTCCAGCTGTGTGTGTGAAGGTAATATTTTCAGTTGTGTGTGTGAGAGCGTTCCAGCTGTGTGTGTGAAGGTAATATTTTCAGTTGTGTGTGTGAGAGGGTTTCAGCTGTGTGTGTGAAGGTAATATTTTCAGCTGTGTGTGTGAAAGCGTTCCAGCTGTGTGTGTGAAGGTAATATTTTCAGTTGTGTGTTCACACGCTGTGTGTGTGAAGGTAATATTTTCAGTTGTGTGTGTGTGAGAGCGTTTCAGCTGTGTGTGTGAAGGTAATATTTTCAGCTGTGTGTGTGAGAGCGTTCCAGCTGTGTGTGTGAAGGTAATATTTTCAGTTGTGTGTGAGAGCGTTCCAGCTGTGTGTGTGAAGGTAATATTTTCAGTTGTGTGTGTGAGAGCGTTTCAGCTGTGTGTGTGAAGGTAATATTTTCAGCTGTCTGTGTGAGAGCGTTCCAGCTGTGTGTGTGAGAGCGTTCCAGCTGTGTGTGTGAAGGTAATATTTTCAGTTGTGTGTGAGAGCGTTTCAGCTGTGTGCGTGAAGGTAATATTTTCAGTTGTGTGTGTGAGAGCGTTTCAATTGTGTGTGTGTGTGAAGGTAATATTTTCAGTTGTGTGTGAGAGCGTTTCAGCTGTGTGTGTGAAGGTAATATTTTCAGCTGTGTGTGTGAGAGCGTTCCAGCTGTGTGTGTGAAGGTAATATTTTCAGTTGTGTGTGTGAGAGCGTTCCAGCTGTGTGTGTGAAGGTAATATTTTCAGTTGTGTGTGTGAGAGCGTTCCAGCTGTGTGTGTGAAGGTAATATTTTCAGTTGTGTGTGTGTGAGAGCGTTTCAGTTGTGTGTGTAAAAGCATTTTACTTGTATGTGTGTGAGCTTTTCAGTATAGTATGTGAATGAGTTTGGTTTCATATGTGTATGTCAGATGCTGAATAATGTCCCTAGGGGCACCTCATACAATCTGGTTAGTCTATCTAATGATGGACCCAGTTCAGCACACAGATCCAAGAGCACAGCCCTCAGGAATCTACAATTCTTTAATGCTATTTGATGTTAACTTGGATTTTTACTCGCTCACTCATTCATCTTCAGTCGCTTATCCTGTGTACATCGTCACAGATCTTGGATTTTTCATCCAGGCCTTATGCTGGCAGCTCATGAGAATCCATGCAAAAGGCGCGTCTCACTCTCTCTGACAAAATGTTTAACAATTGAAAAATATTAAGTCATGGAAAACACCTGGATAGTGAGACAAAAGTAAAATGTCCTAGAAAAGTATTTAAACTGTATGTGGGGGTTGCTCAGTTATGTTGCGGCAGCGTTGTGAACACACTCCGAGTCACGTAGCACAGTTTGAGTAAGTTGATTTATCCTCCAAAGGTAAATGTTAATCACTGCTAACTGTTAAGAGTGGTAGTTTTTATAAGATCAGTGTTTTCATTTTAACTTGTTAACAGTTGAATAATGTTTACATGTTTAGTTCAGTTTCTGCAGATGATGTGTCTGCCAGCTTGATTTCCCTGCAAAGGTTTAAGGTTTGAGTTCCAACTTTGGCAAGGAGCAATTTCAAACGTGTTGATGAGAAAGTTGGACAAGAATGAAGCCAGGGTCAAAACAATAGGCAGCTGTGGCTCAGGAGGTAGAGTGGGTTGCCCGGAAGTCGCCTGGAATCGGAAGATTGGCGAGTCAATGCCCGGCTCCTCTAGGCTGCATGTTCAAGTGTCCTTGTACTGAACTCCAAATTGCCCCTGTTGTGTAGCATGGATAGGGTGACAAAATACTACTAATAAAATTAGCCTGCCCTTAGCCACACATGTAATTGTATAAGTAATGTAATAGTGCTTCAAATTATAATGAAGTAATTACTGAATAAGCAGTTGTAGTGACTTTTGTTTGAACAAGAAAAATGAAAATATTGTTTTGCAACTCATAATGCATGCATTCACACACTAATTTGTAGATTTGGACATTTTCTCTATATGTTCACATTTTTTGATATGAGTGTGTGAATGTGTTTTGCACCATATTCACTTCAGCAACTGCAGCAAAAATGTGAGCGTACTTTGATTTGTTAAATGTTTTTATTTTGATACACGTGTGTGGCTGCAAAAACACTAACCGCAGCCTCCAAAATGACCATAGAGTTGAATCAACACGCCCCTAAAACAGTTTCAACACAAACAGATTATAACCATCATGAACAAGGATTTACTGCAGGACATTTGGATTACACTGCATTAGTTGAGTTCATACATGTGCTCAAAGCCGACACAAAGAATTTCCATAAATTAAAGAGCAGATTATTATGAAATAAAATCAAAGGGGTTAATTATTCAGCACTTTCACATCTACAGGACAGTTGTTTGCCACGGCAAAGCTTGACTAGACTAAAAATTGACATTTATCTTTCAAACCAAATTATTATCAATGTAAAGTTTAGTTTAACAATTTTTAGAGCAAATATTGCATGTTATAGATATAATTTAGATATAATTGTACATTAAGGTACACTAGCTCCAATAGGTAGATGATGGACATGTGTTCCTCTGACCTCTAAAGTATGCTCCTTTAAGTTATTTTCAATCCATTTATAAATGACTGTAGGAAATTACATGACAGCATTAGTTTAATCCTATCTACAGTGTAATCAATAAACATCCTGTTTTGAGTTACTCGAGGGGGAAGTTTTGAGTAAATGACAAATCATCATTTTGTCTTTGCGTAACAACTAGATCCTTCAAAAACCATGACACGCTGGTATGCCAGGCTACATATACCTACATTTGTTCAGTGCTGCTTAAACAATTCATTATTATTCATTTATTAATTTTACACCCTTCATTTTTGAAAGAAAGCAGTTTCCATCCAGAGATGAGGAATTGGAAGAAGAAGAAGGGGGAGTGAACAGGAGCGCACCCGCTGGTAGTTGGTATATTGCCGGCAGCTGTGTTGATGCTGTTGTTGCTGGTGGAGGCTGAAATTAAGAACATTACCTCTCACTGAGCCAGGAAGGTGTGTTGTTGGTTGTTTCCAATTAATAACACTGCTGCCTGGAAGAGCTGCTCTGCTCACCACCAGATCACCCTGAACAAACAAACAGGACAGAGATGTTTAATTCCAACTTTTTGTGAAACGGAAAATAATGTTACCTTTTTCTTAGTTCTCATTTTTTTTCATAGTTTCTCCAAATGTGCTATATGATTGATACATCATTTTGTCTTCTCATCAAGAACACATTGGACTTTCTAATGCTCATACTATTCCACTGCTCTTTATTGACCCTGGAACTTTCCCAGAGTTATTAGTTGGAGGAGCAGCAGCTCTGTTTGGGATCCTTTGGAAACCTGGCCAATCCACCTGGCGAATGTTCGCTCTCTGGCCAAGAAAATGGACGAACTGCTGCTCCTCAACAGAACTAACTCGGATTTCTGCTGATCTGCTGCCCTCTGTTTCACCGAATCCTGGCTCACCGAGCGCATCCCGGAAAGCGTACTTCACCTACCGGGATTTAATCTCATCCGCGCGGATCGCGAAAGGGAGCTCACGGGAAAAACAAGGGGAGGCGGACTCTGTTTCTATAGAAACGAAGGTTCGTGCACAGTTTTGAAGAAATCATGCAGCCCTCACCTAGAGACATTTATAAACTGTAAACCGTTTTATTCACCGCGGGAGTTTTCCTTGTTTGTTCTGGTCGCTGTTTACATTCCATCTCAGGCCTGTGTTAGTGAGGCGTTACTACACCTGGCCGACCAGATAACTAACGTGGAGAAAAAACATCCAGACTCCCTGCTCATAGTTCTTGGGGACTTTAACAAAGCAAACCTCAGTCATGAACTTCCAAAATACAGACAGCATAGGAGGACAGCACAGACAGGGACACTAACACACTGGACCACTGCTACACAACATTAAAGGACGCCTATCGCTCTGTTCCCCGTGCAGCCTTGGGACTCTCTGATCTGTCTGGTGCATCTTATCCCGACACACAGGCAAAAACTGAAGTCTGCTAAACCTGTTGTAAAGACTGTGAAAAGATGGACCAATGAGTCAAAGCTGGAGTTACAGGCCTGGACGAACTAACTGACACTGTGACATCTTACATCAGTTTTTGTGAGGACATGTGTGTGCCGACTAAAACCTTCCGCACATACAACAACCAAAAACCCTGGTTCACAGCGAAACTCAGGCAGCTTCGTCAGACCAAGGAGGAGGCCTTCAGAAGTGGGGACAGAGTCTTGTACAACCAGGCCAGGAACACGCTGACTAAAGAGGTCAAAGCTGCAAATTGGAGCTATGCTGAAAAGCTAAACAACAGCTTTGCAGCCAATGACCCTGCGTCAGTGTGGAGAAGCCTACGGACACTCACAAACTACAAGAGACCATCCCCCAACACTGCTGGTACTCAACGACTGGCAGACGAGCTGAATGGTTTCTACAGTAGGTTTGAAAAGCCCAGAGTCACACCTCTCCCCCACTCCAACGCCATCTTCAAACAGTCACCTTCCCCCTCTGACGTCTCACCTGCACTCAAGATCTGTGAAGAGGACGTGAGCCACCTCTTCCAAAGGCAGAAGATCAGGAAGGTTCCTGGACCTGACGGTGTCTCACCATCGTGCCTGAAAATCTGTGCGGACCAGCTGGCCCCCATCTTCACTCAGATCTTCAACAAATCACTGGAGCTGTGTGAAGTTCCCTCCTGCTTCAAACGCTCCATAGTCATCCCAGTCCCCAAAAAACCCTCCATCTCTGGACTAAATGACTACAGGCCCGTCACCCTGACATCTGTATTCATGAATTCCTTTGAAAGACTGGTGTTGGCCCACCTGAAGGACATTACAGGCCCCCTGCTGGACCCCCTGCAGTTTGCCTACAGGGCTAACAGGTCAGCGGATGATGCTGTCATCTTGGGTCTGCATCACATAACCGTGGACTTCAGGAGGAGCCCCCCCACTCTGCCTCCCATCACCATTCTTAACAGCCCTGTGTCTGCTGTGGAATCCTTCAGGTTTCTGGAATCCACTATATCCCCAGGACCAGAAGTAAGCACATCGTGAGCAATGTACAATCCTGAGTCAAATTCCTCGTATGTGTACACATACCTGGCAATAAAACTGATTCTGATTCTGAAGATCTCAGGATCCTTGAAATGTGTTCATTTTAGACTATGCAACTTTTCCTGAACAGCATTCACTGTAGATATATGTGGCAATTATGGAATAATCAAATGTAACAGTAGTAAGAGTTTAGAAGAGTTGATTAAGAAAACAGCTCGGGCCAAGGTCAGTTGAAAACTTGTCATCACCACCTTAAAATCTTTTCTATAATGGACAGCAAATTGGAGTCCAAAAAAGCTCACGGGAGTTAACATAGTGGTGCAATACAGTTTTTCACTGGTGTATTTCTAAAACTTTATGGAGTTAGCGATGGTGCAGTGGTTAAGACATATGCCTTTGATGTGGGAGGCTGTGACACATCCACCAATGTGTCCCTTAACAAGACACTTAAACCCTTGTTGCTCCAAAGCGGTGCGACCTCTGACATATGTAGCAATTGTAAGTCAATGCGGATAAAAGTGTCAGCAAAAACACTGTAATGTCATATAATACTCTGAGTGTGGTTCATCAATGGTGATAAATGATTCAAACATCCTGCGAAGTGCACGCACAACTGTGCACAACACCGCAGCTGGTGCTCCATCTCTCTTCCTCTTCTACATGCTGCACCCACACATGCACACTCAAGGTTATGGTAACAATTTTGCATTTATTCACACACTTTTAATAAATTAATAAATAATAATACAAGTCTTAATAAAAGTTGTTTTGTTTTTATATTATCTTAAACAGCATTATACATTGATGTTTATATCACCATAGGCCGTATATTAAGTTAGTGGGAGAAAACCAGTAGTTCTATGTAAAATATGCCATTGAGCCCCCCCACATAATCAAAATGGCATGATCCTCATTTCATAATGCCACTGCGAAGATTCGACTGTGAGATTTGTAGTCGAATCAGGCTCCTCTTATAGCAGCACTTTGTGCCATGATTTCATCCTTCTAGAACTTTTTATTGGTGTATTTATTATCCATTGTTGCCATCTAGTGGCCCTTTATGTGCTAATTTTACATCTTTATTTTCTATTTTAACACCTTTACTTTGTGATGTTATTAATTATGTGATTAATACAGTTTGTATTTTTATTTCACCACAATGTTGTTTATATTTTTGGGGCCATTTCAATCACAATTTTCACTATTAAAACTTCAGAAAGTCAAAATACATTTGTTAAAGATTAATGCCTTTTTTGGCTTTATCGTTACAAAAAGGTTTTTGCGTATGTGCATCAAGTGAACACTGCCTTTTGTGTATTTTCACATCTGCATTTTGAAGAACTTGCATCTGTGTGATTTCCACTCACACTTGCAGCCTGTTTCTTATGTACTTCACTCAGGAATGTGGTCTAATTACAGAATACAGAATAAATAAATAAATACATATTATTATTATTAGTAGAAGTGGTATTATTATCTACCGTAAGTGCAGAAGTAACGTCACTATCCATGAGCAAACTATGAGCACATCGTTTTCAAAACCACTAACAGATTGTTCGCCAGTCAAGAGCTGTGAAACTGCAGCCATCTTGATAAGCAGCGGTTTCTGGGCTGTGTTAACGGTAAGACACAACAACACTCATTAATGAAGATCAGGTTACAGGTATAAACTTAATCTCTGCCCAGACACAAGGTTCTTCATGCGTCTGTCTGCCTCAGGTGATCTGGCGAAGCCCCTCTCGCTCCGGACTCTGACAGCAGCCAGGGCACAGAGCAGGGCACCGCGCCTACATGCAGTTACACCGGCACAGATGATTCTGCAGTCGGCAGAGGAAGGAGACTCCACTTTGTGGGTCGAGAGATCAGAACTTCAGGAGTTCCTTCTTTTAGTAAAAGAACCATGGAAATCTTCTTCTGCAGGTATGACACCCTTATGTTGCAAACAATCTACTTTCCAAAACTGTCTTGTTTGATAAAAACACAACAAAAGAAAAATGGTCTGCTCTTAGTCAGTGATGTAAGTTAGACTTTCACCTAGTTAGTGTGTTAATGTGCTTAATCTACATTGCAGGGTGTTACTGGAAAGACTTCCATCCCTTGAAAGTATTAGCAAATGTTAAGCTCAACAACCAAACTAGTGCTAGTTTTTAAACAACCCTAACACTATCCGGATCCAAAATAATGGAGAAATGTAGATAGGGTTAAAATTGAAGTCTGGACATGGCAGGCACTTACGTTAGGCTGGTGGCAGGCCAGGACAGGTGACGCTGAGGTCGCCATCCTTCCCAGTGGACGTGTAGGTGTAGTAGCCTGGCTGGTTGCTGGTGATCTGGCTGTTGATCCAGGACTGATACTGGGACACTCTGGTGTAGGCTGTTGGGAAATTAGGCTCGGCACAGCGTACTGCAAAACTCACGATTCCCTCCTGGATCCAGCGACCGCCCTGCTTGCTCACCAGCGGACCTCCTGAATCCCCCTTTAAGGAAAGACATATTTAAGCGAAGAATCTTTGCAGAAGCTCAAATCTGACACAAACACAGATGTAAAAGTGATCACCTGACAGGAGCTCTTCCCTCCTACGCCAGCGCAGATCATGTTGCTTGTGATTGAGCCCACTCCATAGTTACAGTTACACTGTCTGTTCCCCACAATCGGCACCTTCACCTCCATTAGGTTTCCTGGGGATGGAAGGTCCACTAAAAAGAAAAGAAACAAATTTAGTTTAGTGAACAACACAAGTGGTGAAATGTGGTTTCAAATAATTTCACACAAAATGGACAGTTCTATTTTCTATAGGCTTCGCCCTCTAGAGCTATAACTGGTGCGTTTATCCCTCGCCACATGCACAGAGCTGTGCATGTCCAGTGGAAAGAGCTTTTTCCACGCCCTCTAGTGTGATTGGCCTCATCGTGCCTCATCCATTGACAACCGCTTATCCTGCGTACAGGGTCGCGGGGCTCTCCTTCATTAAAGAATGAAGCGCTGTTGCAGGGTAAGTACCTATTACACGGTACCAGGATACTCAAAGTAAAATTTAAGAGATTTAAGACCTTTTTAATACTACCTAGGATAAATTTAATGACAACTTCACTTCCCTATAATGGAAAATCGTATAAATTTTAAGCCTGAGAAAATTGTTATTTACGAATTTACCTGAATTTAATAAAACATTTATATATATACACAATACTCACATTTATATTTAATACACTATAGCTTTTTGGGGTGTGTTTGTACTTTGATGCACGATTCACAATATTGAGTTCATGAGAACTAGACAAAAAGATATTTTAACACTATTTTGATGAAATATTCAACATTGAAATATTTAAAGGGTTGAGCATTAAACACTTAATTTCCTGCATCCTGGAGATATTTTCTGCACCAATTTATGGTAGAATGGTCTTTATTTATATAAAGTGAAATAAAATTCAGGTGACAATTCAAACAAAACCTTTCTCAAAGCATTTTCATTTTCTTTTTTTTAAGATTTCTTGTTCAAGCCATGTTTCATAACATATTTAACAAATGCTTTTAAAAACACATGACCCCAGCGTCCCCAGAGTAACTGACACCTATGAAATGAATACAATATTTGTAGCACTAACAACTCTTATGGTGTGAAACCAAAGATACAAAATAAATTGTGCAGTATGAGTTGTTACAATTAGTTACACCATGGCTTCATAAGGTAATATAATGTAATATAATATGCCTTTTGCATCTAAAGGCTGCTGGAAATATAGTATTCTATAGTATTGGCGTGAAAGCAGCGAGGATAAGGAGTTGGGCTCCGGTTTGTTTTTGCCGTGTTGCGTTAGCATGTTTGATGTTTCCTTTCACATAACGCTAGCCTACAACAGTGGCGCAACGCTGATACAAAGAACGGTCCTCGTCTCTCCGTTGCTGTTTTAACATTCACGGACAAGTAACCTGCAGGTCTTCCAGCTCTGCTGTTTCATTAGCGCTCGCCACAGTGTGACTGACTCGCGCACCGATCCGCTTGTTGTGCTAACCTAAGCGCCACTGTAAGACCTTGGTAAACAAAAATTTAAACTTATTTTTAGAATATGAAATTCAAGACTTTTTAAAATACTACTGTATTAACCCCAGTGTACATTTGAATTTTTCCCAGGTGGGCTTAATGGCACAGTGCGAGAAGAAGCACACTGTATGAGCAAGCTTGAAATAGAATAAAAAGTTGAGCCCACTTCAGTGTGGTTTTATGAAATGTCTTCCTTTCTAATCCATTTCTATTTTGACCATATGTTGACTAAAGGTGATTGCAACATTTTCTTTGATTTGTTTTACCTCACCAACATAAAGTGCACCTATATTTGTCTGCCAGTGTTATCAGAAAAGTGAATTTTAGACAGTTGCATTACATGTAAACATCAGCTAATGTGCAACTTTATCTTTTATTTACAGTTAGAAAGATGACAATATGTCAAATATGACAGAAGCGTGTCGCCTTTACCAAGAGGTTATTTCCTTTAGATGTGTATTGTGTTACAATACTGCTCAACAGCTCCATGATGTGGACCAATTGCGGGAACACACACTCTCCAGCACATGCTTTATTGTGAGCATGTGAAACAGTCTTAGAATTAATTTGTTGAAGAGGATAAAAAATAAATATATCTACCCAAAGCGGGGATTAAACATACAATCCTTAGATTGAGAGACCTGTACTCTACCAACTGAGCTAACCGGGCACAGTCAAAATAAGTCTGACATTTTCCTAAAAAAAACGAGCCTTGTGTTAGACTATCGTATCGTTATCTCGAGAAAATTATCCAGTTATCATGGAAAAACAGAGTAAATAAAGATTTTCCATAGATGGTCGCCTAGGGTTTCCATAGCTAATACTGCTATGTAGTTGTTGTTGTTTTTTTGATTGTAAGCTATTACTACTGTTTTTAGGGCACTGCTGATTTAATTAATTTAATTAATTAGTTATTTACTTTTATTAGTTTGCTTCACCTTACTATTACTATGTATTATCTGTTCATGTACATCGAGAGAAGCCAACCTAAATGTCATAATATAAGTATAGTGACAATAAAAATCATTCACAATTCTATTCTCTCCTTTAAAAAATATATTTTAGCCAAAACTGTCTTGCTTTTGGCTTTGACGTCGGCTAAGAGAGTCAGCAATCTATCTGCTCTCTGTGGCCCCTTCATGCCTCAGAATTCAGGTTGATGGCAGCTTCTTCTCCTCATAGGTCAGAGTAGGAAGATACATGGAGAGCTCTCCTCCATGTTGGCCCTACTCCACTTTTGCTGGAAAATGACAGTGTAATTCAAACTAGTTCACAAAAATGTGTGTTAGCTAATGTCACAGACAGAATTACAGGTTTTGTTGCTCCCCTGGGTAAAGGAGCAACTACATTTATGCTTTGAAATTTCTGAAAGGACTGTCTGTTGACACCATTGTAGTCACACTAGGCTATCTCTGAAAATAAATGATACAGATCCTTTCTGACCCACCTCCAAATCCAATCCTGCCCCAGCCGGTGACCCAGGCTACAGTGTCCTTGTAGAAGGTGCTGCCTGGGGCTGCCAGGCAGACGGGCAGGATGTAGGAAGTGAAAGTCACCGGTGAGGAGAGCTTCAGGAGGCAGATGTCGTTGACAAGAGTTTTAGAGTTATAGTTGGGATGACTGATGATCTGTGATACTGTACGAGACACTTGGTTGGGGTTTGATCCCTGTTGAGTCTGACGACCCAGAGACACAACCAGATCGCTTGTGGTGGATCTGAGGTAATCAAAAGAGAAACAAAACAGTGCTAATACATGTAAAGCAGAAATGTAGTCAAGGAGACACTTGGGCCATTATTTTGAAGGATTTCTAGCCTTTATCTGTGAAGGATAGCTCAAGAGTGACAGGAAATGTGGGACAGAGACAGCGGACGACATGCAGGAAAGGGCGGCGAGTTGGATTTTATTAACCTGTGCTGCTGCGGCAAGGACCAAGCCTTTGCACAATAGACGCCACTCCTACGTGGGCCATTTTGAAGGCCACATCTGATCTAGTTTGTATTGAACCTGACAGATGTGGCAACAGAGAGATATCATTCCCAAATATTACAAATCTTTTTCCTCATTATATTATAAATCATTCCCTCAATGAACTGAAGGGGTGTGATCTGAAGTGCTAATTACATAAGTTGATCCCTGGTCTGGTTAGCAAGAATAAATATAAAATGTTCAGGAAAGTTAGCAAGAATACATTTGAAACGTTGGTTAGACTTTCAAAATACTACTTGGTTAGCTTTAGGAAAACATCATGATTAAGGTTACATTATTATTACATTAACTATGTGACTTCACTTATGTAACTTTTGTAACTCATGTACCTCAACTAAAAACAATCAATGACATGGGAACCTACACCAAATGACGTCACAGGGCTTCCCCCAGTGCATTGAACTATGACGCTAAGAGGCTTCCCAGTGCATCACAAACTGACACCAATGGGTCTTTACCATGCGTCCATATGTGTCGACTTGGAAGTGAGAATGGGTTGCACATGCGGATATCTGTTAATAGAGATTAGGTTGATTGATTTAAAGGTGCAGTAAGTTAGGGAATCACAGTTTTTTGTCATTGTTTTACATTATAGCTGCTTTCACCAGAAACTCAATCTGCCCCCTGTCTTGCCAGAGGGGCTCTTGGGCCACTCACTTCTGGTTAGTTCTACATTTACGTTTATTATCCAAAGCGATTTCCAATTGCTAAATATGTCAGAGGTCGCACGCCTCTGGAGCAAGTTAAGTGTCTCGCTCAGGGACACAATAGTGGATGTGTCGCAGTGGTGAATTGAACCTGGGTCTCTCACACCAAAGGCATGTGTCTTATCCACTGTTCCATCACCACCCCAGTTGTATATCTATTTAGGGACGAAAATGCAACCCTTTTGTGAGTTTTCTCTCCTCGGGTTTTCGAACCACTGCCTTTGGCAGGCTGGTTACAGGACTGCGTGGCATGTTGTGTTTTGTCGCGACCCTACCCTCAGTGCTTACCCGTCACAGCAGTGAGCAGCAGTCATCACCCATTCATTGTTAATGAGGGTTCCTCCACAGAAGTGGAACCCTGTAGTGTCTTGCAGACTGGCCTGCCAGGGCCAGCTGCCTGCAGAGGCCACCTGTCCTCCAACAATCTTGGTGTTGAGTGTTGGCTGACCACACACTGAGGAGAAAGACAATAAAGAGACAGCAAATACTAACAATAATGAAACTATTTTCAAACGTTTACGTCCAACAACATGTTTAAAATGTCCAGATGACAGATGGACATGAAATAAAAACGTTAGCATTGACACTTTGACTTAGCATCTAGTTGCAAGTGAGACTCCTCGAAACACCAATTTATGTGTAAATATAATAATTGTCATGCTACATTTACATGGGAGGAGTGGGAGTTTACTTTTATTACTAAACTCAATCAAACACAAATAGTTTTTAATAAGTGACTTTAAACCCTTTGCTCTCTCAGCTAACAGAAAATCATCTTCCACTTACAGAAAAGGAGTTTGCAGTAGTTGAGAAAATTCCCTAGAACTCATTATGACCACGAAAACCTTCAAGAACCAAAATGTGTCAGCTGTCTTCCTCTTTTTTTATGTCTTGTGACCACTAGAGGTCACAGCTTTACATAGGTAAATATGACTCATAAGGAGCTGCTTGAATAATCAACCTATACAGGTGTTTTTCTGGGGAGGACAGGCTGAAAAGAACATACATTGTTCTACTGCTGCAAATCTTATTACTACTAATACTAATGAGTTTTATGAATACTAATACTACTACTGTTGCTCCAGTCCCTGATGATGTCAAAATGTAAAGTTAAAGTTGAGTTAAAAATCATCATCATCATCGTGGTAGGCACTTACCTTGGGCTGCTGGGGGTGGCGTGGCAGGACATCTTATGCTGAGGTCACCGTCGGTCCCAGTGGATTTAAAGGTGATGAAGCCTGGCTTGTTGCTGGTGATCCGGCTGTTGATCCAGGACTGATACTGGGAGACCCGGGTGTAGCCTGATGGGATATTAGGCTGGGCACAGCCCTTACTACTGGTAAAACTCACAATTCCCGCCTGGATCCAGCGACCACCCTGCTTGCTCACCAGCGGACCTCCTCCATCCCCCTTAAAGGAGAGAAACATTTAGGAGAAGGAATCTTTGCAGAAGGTCAAATCTGACACAAACACAAGCGTAAAAATACCTGACAGACGTCCTTTCCTCCAGCACTGAACCCAGTGCACATCTTGTTGTTTGTGATCAAGCTCACTCCGTAGGTACAGGTACACTCTCTGTTTCCTACAATCGGCAGCTGCACCTCCATTAGGTTTTGTGGGAAAGGAAGGGACACTGAAGAGACACAAATTCGGGTTAATAAACAAATGTTCACATCTTTTAAAATGGTTTCACACAAAATGGGCAGTTTAATAAACACATCGGTGATCTGTGGCACACCTCAAGTGTTTCCAGGTGTTCCTCTGTGGAAACAAACATTCTCACTACTTGAACTTAAAGGACCATGACAGCGTTTTTACAATGTCTTAGCTTCCAGTACTTCAAATTAAATTTATATAACGGCAATTCATAACAAAAGTTATCTCATTTCACTTTTCATATAGAGCAGGTCAAGACTGTACTCTTTATATTATTATTAACACTTGAGGCAAGAAAAGACTCTCTTTTAGGAGGTATAGAGACCTCGATCAACTCATGTTCTCGACCAGTTGGGGTTCAGAGAGAGAGAGAGAGAGAGCATTGGAAAGCGAAAGAGAGTGAGAGAGGGTGAGGGGGTGATGCAACACAACGACCACATGCAGTAGAAAACATATACAGTAAAAGCGGTTGTGGTGCAGACAGGAAATGAATAATGTTATTGATCATTTTACTTATATTAATGATAATAAAAATAATAATTGTACCAGTGGCACTCGAGCAGTAACATAACTAAGGGATGGTTCAGGACTCACCTGAGCCAGCCCTAACTATAAGCTTTATCAAAGAGGAAAGTCTTAAGCCTACTCTTAAATGTGGAGATGGTGTCTGCTTCCTGAACCCAAACTGGAACCTGGTTCCACAGGAGAGGAGCTTGATAGCTGAACGCTCTTCTGGATCAGCTTAAGAGTCTTGATGGACTTTTTCGAGCAGCCTGATAATAAGGAATTGCAGTAATCCAGCCTAGAAGTAACAAATGCATGGACTAGTTTTTCTGCATCATTTTTAGACATGATGTTCCTGATTTTTGTAATATTACGTAGGTTAAAAAAGGCTGTCGTTGAAATTTGTTTAATGTGAGAGTTAAACAACATGTCCTAATCACAGTGGTGCTGGAGGCCAGGGCGATGCCATCCAGGGAAACTATATCTTTAGATAATGCGTCACGGAGGTGCTTGGACCTCAGAACAATAAGAGTATAACATTTGAAAATTACAGGTCATCCTGGTTTTTATATCCTTAAGGCATGCTTGAAGTTCAGCAAACTGATTTTGTTTGGTTTTATCTGGCCTGATCGAGTTTCATCTATATATCAATGAAACGTGATAGAAAGGAGTTTCCTTATGAAATTGCTTAAAGGAAACAATGCAGCACTAAGATCTAACGAGACAAATACAGAGACAAGTCTTTTGTCTGATGCAATAAGAAGGTCTAATGATATAATGTTTGTCCGAACATAAAAGGGTCAAAGAAACTAACAAAAGAAAGTAAAACAGCAATTACAATTCCCTAAAAGGCTTTTTATGTTCATTGTGTCACCTCTGCCTTTATATTACTTATAATCAAAATTAAAACCAAAATGAAGTTTCATCCTGACTGACAGGCATGTACCCTGGTAGACTTCCATTCAGTATAACACTAAGTGTACTTTTAAAATGTTTTATGTCACAAGGTATCCAAATCACAAGCTCTTATGTCCATGCTTACACTGGCAGATATATAGCTACCTAGAAGAATATTTTATTTGAATTAACACATATTCATAAAGGATATTTCAGCCGAGATTTGTTTTCATCTTTCTAAGTCAAACAAAGATATTGTATTTTAATTAAGCATACTGGTGTTATACCAGCCCGTTCTCATCTCAGGGCGCCATATACCGACGATTTGAGAAAGAGTGACAAAGCGTAGGTATTTGACACTAAAGGCACCCTTTAACATCAAATACCTACGCGGCGGGTGCGTCTCCATGACACTCTTCCGGAAGCGTCTCATGGAGACGCTCTGGGGCGTCCCATACAGACCGGAAGTGCTACGTTCGTGATAAAGGTATGCACTGTAAAGAAACAAGGATGTAAACAATTCATAATAACTGCATTCATGTCACAATTCTGACATCTACTTTTAGTTTCTCCATGTTGTTTAATTTCTCTACCAGAGGACTGTACAATAAAGCAAGATAACTGGCTTTTCCGGGTAGCTAAAGGAGTAACTTTGTGACAACTGAGGCCTGTGCTACCCTTCATAGAGTTCAAACTACTCAGATTTAACTCAGGGTTATCAAGCAAAGTCAGGCTTGATAAACTCTTCTTTTATGTGTAATGATTTAAGATGAAAGGTGCAACTACATATTAGGTCCGTTAAACAAAAAAAAAATAGAGCAAGGCGAGAGGGGTAATATTCCTCTGTGTGTGTGTGTGTGTGTGTTTGAGAGAGTCTTCCCTATCCTGAGTACCTGATGTGTGTCCCCTGGTTGTGTCCCACAACGCTTGTTTGCTCTTGTATAAATGGTTTTCAGTCCCTCTTCGGTCATTGCGGTATGTTGAGGGTTCTGCTTGTCTCTGTGTGGTTGCATTTACCAGTTTTGTTTGAATTTAGTTTCTTATAACAGATCATAACCTTTGTTTTAATTTTGTACCATGCTTCCATGGAAGTCACATTATTCTGCTTTTTGCTAATAAACCTTGCAAACTGATGTCAGCTCTCCACTGTTGTGCGTTTGGGCTCAAACCTGCTTATCACTTGATAAACATACAACCATTGTAATTAGTTTGTCTCTGAGAATAAATGTAATCCAGGTCTTTTCTGACCCACCTCCAGTTCCAACATTGCCCCAGCCGGTGGCCCAGGAGAGAGTCCCCTTGTAGAAGTTGCTGCCTGTGGCTGCCAGACAGACGGGCTGAATGTAGGTGGTGAAAGTCACGGGTGAGGAGAGCTTCAGGAGGCAGATGTCGTTTTCCAAAGCTCCAGAGTTAAAGTTGGGATGAACGATGATCTGTGATACTGTCCGAGACACTTGATTGGGGTTTATTCCCTGTAGACTCTGGAGACCCAGAGACACAGTCAGAGTGCTCGTGCTTACGCCTGATCTGAGGTAATCAGAAGAGAAACAAAACAGTGCAAAGACATGAAAAGCAGAACTGTGGTCAAGAGCACTTTAGCAAAAGTCCATTTTATGACCACGTCTAGTTTGTATGGATATTGATAGATGTTGCAACAGGGAGATTTCATTTCCACAAGTTAATGATTTGAATCCTAATATTATGAACAATTCCCTCATCTTAGTCATTCATGTGCTCAATATGCTTTTTTTTCCTGATCTCAGGTCCTAATTACATAAATTGTTCCCTTTAATTATGAATTAATACTTCAGTCCGTACATGTAGTCCATGTTCTTTCCATCTGTTGGTGTCAACAGAAAACTAAGGATGAACATCTCTAAACCGAAAAACACCTGCAATATCAACAGGAGTTTTCCTTTGCAGCAAAACCATCTTTTCTCCCAGTGTACATGGCAGCGACAAACCAGCCCAAACATGAGGTCTGTCCCTGTGTCTCAGACCAAAAGCTTAAACTCTATAAACTCCAAAGGGAGACAAAGACACATGGAAATAAGAAATGTCTTTATCTCTGGACGGCATGATTCATTAATGGACTAACTTGTTTGCATGAGGGCAATCTCTGAACCCATCGTTCATCGACTGACGAGGATTTAGCCTTTGGGAGCAACAGACAATGTTCTGGCTCCTGTTCAGTTCTCTTAATTGCATCCACGTTTCCCTCACTTGCAAGGAAATCATGCAAGGAGAGAAGGAACGAGGAAATTTGCTTTTAGAGAAATGAGACGTCCTTTCTTCCAAAGCCTCATTATTGAATTACCCAGATCATCATGGTGTCTTTGAACATTATGACTTATTAGACTATATGTTTCAGGGGGAAACTGAAAGGATTTAACTTTA